CCATCCATCCATCCATCCATCCATCCATCCATACATCCATCCATCCATACATCCTTCTTCGGATACAAATAGGCTTCCAAATATTCCAGATTGAATTAAATTTTGAATAGCTCCAAATGTTATTGATTTAACACCAGTATAATTTAGGTTTCGGCTTGGATGATGTGGATTAAGGTGGACTGAAATCTCTCCACATCGCCGAGTCTAATTGAACATCCAGCTCACTGATTCCAACTAAAAAATAAAAATATCCAAAGACAATCTGTCCACTGGACGAGATATTTGATGTGATGATATACATATAACGCTCAGTTTTCTTTAGCAACCCTTTCCTGATCGATGGCTTTGTACAATGAGATTGTTTGTTACTTTGTAACTCCTCTGGAAACTGGTTAGATGCAGATAAATACGGCTTAAAAAGCTGGAGCTATTTTAGGTACATCAGATTGGCACTTAGAAGACTGATTAGAAAAAACATTTTATTTGTATAAACTGCATTCTGTATTTGTTTCATTAAAGGTGAGAAAAGGTCAGAATTACCTGTTTCTTTTTTTTTACTTATCATGTTAACAGTGAGGTGTTGACTTTTAATATCCACTGTTAAGGGGAACTTTAAAACTTACTCCCTTCCCATGCTGATAAAATACTCCAAACCCTACATAGCAGAAAGATCAGCTGTAATTCATCATGTCTTTGTTTTGTTTTGTAGAGGAAGGTCAGCGGGTTTGCGTGGCAGCCTTTCCCATCGTAAAAACATGGCTTCAACAGATTTCTGTGCCCTCAACTGAAACCTTTCAGCCCATATGCTCTTTTATCGCCATGACAGTTTCCAGCAATGGTAAAAAAAAAAACTGTTTTCTCTGCTGAAAACACAGTTTCACAGAAATGACATTTATTTTCTAACAGTGTTTAAAACTTTTTAATAATCACAAATTGTTCACCTCTTGCAGCTTATGTACAGGAGAGTTTTGCTGCCTGCGGCGGTTTGGAAACTCTTACAGTCGCACTGCTTCGCATCGTGTCTACCTCAGATACAAGCTTGTTGTCTCGTCAGGTGTCTGTCATTATAGTCAAGACCTTGTCAGCTTGCATTGCTGATAACTGTGAGTCCTACTCATAATTGTTTCATTTAAGAAAGCTTGACTGTTGCTATTGTGCTTCTCCAGGTTATACATTTGTTTTCTTTATATTCTAGCCACTCTGGCATCAGGTTTGGCTCAGTATGACCTAGTGAACCACCTCTTCTTTCTGCTGGCCAGCACACATTTAGACCCTGAGGACAGACTCTCGGTTTTACTTACCATTGGGGAGTGCACTGGGGCCTCTGGTGAGACTGAGCCGTAAAAAACTATGGAAAGTCGAGAGTCTTCTCTTAATATTTGGCTTTGATTGATCCAATTCACTTATTATTTAATAACTTACTGTCCTTTTGTATTTGCAGTGGAGCACCAGTCTCAGCTGGTGGGTTGTGGAGGCGTGCCGCTTATGATAACCTTTCTCACAGAGGACTCAAGCGAGGAAGTAAAAAGGGCAGCTACCTTCATACTGCAGACTTGCAAAAAGGCCAGTAAGCAAACTTTCGTTTTCTCTGTAAGAGGGATGGGAATCGAAAACTGGTTCCTGTTCAGAACCAGTTCCCTGTGTTCCAATTCCATGGCAGCGTTTGGCAGCTCGCTTAACGATTCTCTTATTGATTCCAGGCAGCATCAAAGCCTAGCGCTTGGCAGCACAACTTACATCACGTTTTTTTACGCAAGTTAAGCACACGGCATTTAGTAAGCAAGTACGACGGGACCGGGCGTAAGTCTAGAAAAGCAAAACCAAAAAATGGTGTCCCATCGGGTAAAGTGATTTAAAGTTTGGCTTAATTTTAAGGAAGAGAAAAATGGCAACAAGTTACTTTGCAATCATTGCAAAGTGGTAGTTACATACATGGGAGGAAATACATCCAACATGCAGAAACACCTGTGCATATAACATGGCATACATTTTAACAATTGCCGTGTTTTTTATGCTTCCAGACAGAACTAAAGTTACGACCAGCATGGAAGGCAACTCTGGTGGTAATTAGCTAGTTTTATATCACTGGCTGTACTTAAAGTGGTTCCTAGTAAATCAAATGCCATTTCTGGAAATAAATTAATTTCCTACCTCAATTTGGGGTTATTAAACATGCTACGAAGTTGTTCCGCAGTTCAGGGAGCAAGAGAAAGGTGACGCTCATTTATTTAAATCAGGGGAGAGGAGTTTATTTCCCGAAATTGTACAGTAATGCTTATTCATTATACGGATGCCTTTTCCATTAGATTTAGATGACTGTGAGGAGACGGGTAGCCTGGCTGGCTCAGAGGCTGGCAGCTCCCGTTCACTGCCTTCTCTTTTTGCAGAGGCAGGCAGAAATAGAATGTCCCAGGCGAAGGTAGACAAATGTCACCGTGCACTTACCAAGTTCACTGTTTCACAGAATCGATAAGAGAATCGAAATCATGAAATTCCCAACCCTACTATGTAATGGCTTTAAAACATATTTAGGGAAAATGTGATTTAGTTTTGTTTTTTATTTTTACAGCAGGCACTTTTTATTCATAATTAAATTTTTTTTATAACAGATTGAAAAAGATATTAGACCCCTTGACATAATATTCATACTTGTTAAGCATAACATTATGACAATGGACAGGTAAACTGAGATTTATTAACAATTTGCTTTGATGTTAAAATATGAAAAAAGGATCAAATCGAAAAGGACCAAGATTCAGTATCTTTCTAAATGAACATGTGATAAGGTAATGGCTCTTTGATGCAGCTTGGGAACTAAATCTTCCCCTTGTGGATTAATCAAACAGATATCTACTGCAGATCAAATTTCTTTAAAGTTCATGCTAGCTCTTATAGAAGAAGGCAGTATAGCCACAGAGCAGTCAGGATGTGAGTATCAGAACCTGGTCTATACACCAAGTGAAGAAGAGTCAGTCTGATCGATCAAAATGTGTTTTATATCATGAGGTTGCTGGCTTTGCACTGCCTGAGAGTAAAGCACATGACTGTGTGCGCTACAACAAAGGGGCAAACTGGCAGAGGTAGCAAGATGCTTTGGGTGATTCTTTGCTTAAAAACCTTTGACCCTTCCATCCACCTACCCACTTTAATGAAGCAGTCTCGGATGCTCTGTTTCAACTCCTTGCAGGATAATGTGCATTACCGCTTAAATGAAATCATTTAGTAATTGTTTGTGAATTACAACATTGAGTTTGAGGGGTTGGCTTGGTGTCCAAACCAATCTGAATCCATTTTGGCAACTGTTAGATGTACTCCACATATAAGTCAGCTTCATGGAGGCCACATCTCACAGTTTAAGGATCTGCTGCTAATTTTATAGTGGTAGATAACACCGCACACCTCCAGGGCTCCAATAACGGCCATGCCTCAGTTATATAGGGTTTTAAAGCAGAAAAATGGATTGACATAATGCTATGCCCGACTGTTATAAAACTGGTAGTATCTAATGTGTTATCAGGGGTGTATCTGTTCATCTTACTTCACTATTTCACATCCTTTACTTTAAACAAATCTCTTTGTTTGTTTATTTGCATAGCGTTGAGCTTGGGAGTGCAGGGCCTGGTGGAAAAGCAAGTTGAAATTGAGGATCCTCTTCTAATTATGGAAAGGTTTAGGAGTTCAGCCAGAGAAATGCTGCGCAAGATTGAACAGTTAGAGAAAAGACAGCTGGAGGTCAGATAAGCACACCCACTTAAAATATAATTGGTAATGTTTATTTTAAATAATTATAAACATATAATATATGTAGAAATATTTCTTTTTTAGGAAGTTAAAGAGGAGCAAGAAACCAAAATGACTGGAGCAGACCCTATGCGTTTTGTTGACAGAAGAGGGATCTGCATGTCTTCTGAAGTTCAGTCACTAGAGGGAGGCAACGAGTCACATGCAGAGAGGAAGTCAGTGTGGTCTTTAAAAGCTTTAATTCATAAGAAAAAAAATTTTCTTCAATAAAATATTTTTTTCTTTTTGCTTAGATCCCTGTTTAGACCTCCTTTGTTGCAGACAAAACCAGAAGAGATTACAGGCTCTGATGGTGAGAAACAGAGTTCTACCTTTACAAGTTTTCACTTGTTGTGTGATGCAGCTTCTATAAAATTAGTATTTTTTTCTTTTTGTAAAGAAGTTGAGAACAGTGACTTAAAGAGGATGAGGAAAGCAACAGACTACCGGTCAGTCTCTAATGGCCGGTGTGCAGGTAAGGAAACTAAGATATTTCTAAGAACAATGAGCACATTTTTGTTGTTGTTATTTTTGGTTCTTTATTTAAGATACACAAGAAATCACAGTTTTGTTTTTTTTTTTTTATTGTTGCACACAGATGATTATTTCTTCTTATAAAGGTTGTTTTTTTTTTAGGTTGTGTCTTAACTTTTGAAGACGTGACAAGTCGGACTTTTGCATCGTTTCAAAGCTCCTGTGAGAACAGCTGCGACATGCATCGAGTTCTACAGGAGGCTACAGAGCGATTCAGAATGAGTCACCTCAACTGCGGGGTTAGGCAAGATCAGAAGAGTGTCGCTGCTGGGCATGCAGACCCAAGCTCTGCAAAGGCGCCAACACCAACGCTGCAAAGAAGCTGTGAAAAACTGTGTGGTAAGTGTGTGGTATTCACTTTTCTTGTGCAAAATTAGTTTAAGCTTACTTAAGTTTGTTGTTTATCATTAGGTTTGGAACATAAGCCAAAAGACAAAAAATACACAAGAACAGAACCGAGCTACTCAAGTGAGTAGAAGATTCCGTGTTTATTTATTTTTGCTCGTTTCATTAATACACCTTAGATACTCTAAATCATAAAACAGACACAGCTAATAATTGAAAAAATTTCTTTATCCACAGCTGGGACTGACAAAAGTTTTCTGCCACAACACACTTGGAGGAAGCATAAGGGTAATATTACATATATATATATATATATATATATATATATATACAGAAATAATTGATCTAGAAATAACAGATTAATGACATGTACTGTAGCAAACAAAATGACATGAAACTTAATCTTTTTTATTATTAACCATAAATTTAAATAAACTCTTGGTTTTATTTTTGGGTTATTTTTTTTTTACTAAAGCAGTTGATTTTTTTAAAATATGGTATGTTTTTATCACCATAAAGTTTCTACTTCTGCTTCAATTTTACTAGAAACAGGATAAATTATATGGGATGGAATTATTTTCCCAGACCTATAAATGCCCAAGCAATGCACAGCCTTACAGGATATTGTCAAATAAATATTAATTAAGAGACTGTAGCAAAAGATTATTAATATAATAAGCACAAATTTTGAAATTATTTGAATGCGTAGAAGCAGTTGTCTTGTTGGCAGTAGGGCTGGGTAATTAATTGAATTTGCCAAATAACTTTAATAAAAGAGAAATTTGGTTACACTGCATGTTACTAGTAAGATACAGACCTTATCAGTGTAGCCTTTGGGTTTGCCAACAGAAAAAAGGGCAAATAGAGTTGCAGCTAGCAGGCAAATCCATACTTACGAGTAGAAGTAAGCACTTTTCCATGCAACAACCTAGATGAGCAAACCTTAAGGTGATGAAAACAATGAAACCCTGAAGTGAAACATTTCTACTTGATGCTTGATGCAATGGAAAATCAAGTAAAATCCCATTATTGGGTTAAAAATATAAAGATTTTTGTCAAACTCTTTCAGTTCTAATTGGTAGATATAAAATTTTGCATAGAGCATGTGTATAAAACCCCTGTAATGCTTTTTTTTCTTTTTTTTTTTTTCTCATAGGTTTCACTTTGACCCCCCTGTATAAAACAACCAGCCAAGTGGCACACACCTCCCAGACAAGGATAGGTATAGATAAAATATTAGTATATTTCATGTCATTAAACTCAGTAAACGCTGCCATGTTCACCAGGTATGACTCCATCTTTCCTCTTAGGTCCAAGCTTCACTCCCCTAAAAAGGTCACAACTACCTGAAGCCATCCATCCAGCACACATGTGATCGGGGTATTTACATTTTCAGACTTTGTGTGTGAATGTTATGATTGAGAGATTGTGTCGGGAGCTGTCCTCTGCAATGTATTCTTGGCAGCAGACAAACCAGGGAGCAGAAGGAATGTTGAGCTGCAGCCAGTTTTCTCGGTGTGCAGGGCAGAGCTGGTTCAGAGCCCCACAGCTGTATTAAGCTGTTCCACAGTCTCTCTCTCTGCTATTAATCGGATACTATAATGACATACCGTGATGTTTTAGACCAATGGAAAAATACTTCAGCTTATTACCATATTGTGTGTCCAAGTATTTTATTAATTAGGCAAACCTTTTTACTTGCATCTTTCTCAACCTTTATTCTCATCTGAGGAATTATTTAGAAGGGTTGCTCGTGCATTTCACAATCGTTCTGTTGTGTTTGATCATTTTCATTTTCTTTGGACTGCAAAGGTTAATATTTTTAACATGCTGAGATTTTTACACACTATACACACTTTTTATTCTAATAACGGTTTACACCTTTTTTACTATCAGTAAATGTAATTTCTATTTCTAAAGCAGCTGTTTTAATTGTAATGTTCTACCTTTGTTTACATAACCTTCCTGTAAGAAGGAATAAGTGACCAAATAAGTATTTAAACTTTTTCTAGCTTCAAACACAGAGAGAAGTGGAAGGATTAATGGCGAACATTATGCTGTTAAAAGATCAAAGACACAACAGACCTCTCTCTCTGGGAGATCTTTAAGATGTTTCTAAAAGATAGAAAAATAAATGTCTAAAATGTATGAGCTGCTAAATTATCTTTTGTTAGTTCTCCTTTGGACTAATCTGAAATGGAAGAGTGAAAACCAATCAGTCATACTGTTCTCTACACTGATACACTATAGCAGACAGAAAGCCTTAAGATACTAAATCAGAGCCAGTTTATTGATAGAACAGTGGTGACCAAAAGTTACCTAATGCTCAGTGTCTATAATTTTAAATTGTCTCAATATCCTTTCTGATATTTTTTTATAGATTTTATTAAGTAGACCAGAATTATTTTCTCCCAAATTTGAAAATATGAACAACTTTTAATAAAGGTACTATTAAAAGTATATACGTTTTCCTGCAAGTTCATTTCTTATGGTTGCTTTAATAGTTTTTTTTCTTGTTTATATTTCTGTAAATATAGAGAAGAGAGAGTGAGGACCTCAGCCATGAAGTCCGAAACCAGCTTGTTGAAGTAAAGAAATATGGCTACTTCTGGATCCCCATCTTACAGTCATATCGTTTCCAACCTGGATGCAGCAATGTTGATGTGGCCAAAATATACAAGAGGCTGGTGAAAAAGTTAAGGTTATAAAATGGTGGGATTTTCAAATGTCCTTTTAGATTGTATTGAAATCTTATCTTCCTGTTTTCCATTGGAAGTATAAAACATTCTATGCTGTGTAATCTTTCTATTCTGATTCATCTTATTTAATAAAGTCTTACTCTGTTTCTTTGTAGAAAACTTATTTTAAGTGAACATATATAGCAATATATGACCTTTCTTTTTTAATTGTATAGTACAGTAAGTATTTATTTTGTTTGTATTACATCACATATGGTTCTATGTTCTAATATTCTGCCAAACATACGTTTTAATAGCTGTTGCTAAACTTGAATGTGTGTATTTACTTAATTTTCCAAAGATGTTTAATACCGGTAGTTGTGTTTCTACAGCTTATTGTATGTTCTTGTTGTAAAATGCACATTTTTTGTGTATAAGGTTGCTGTTTGTTTGATAAAATATTTGACAAGAGCAAATCTGACACTGGTTTGTGTTTTTGTGAAGAAGTTTTCAAAGTGAAGCTGTTTTCAACAGCTGACTGGATGCTAGGTAGTTCTTGTTCCTGTAGCTATAAGTTTGCTTCTGCCTCTGGCACATTGTAGTGAAAGGTTCTGTTCTTGCATAAGAAATATGCTTGACTTCTTAATCTTTAACTCTTCATCCAGGAAATTCACAAATAATTGATGCCAGTTTAAAAAAAAAGTCAACGAGTTCTAAAAAGTTATACAAGCGAGAACTTTGTGTGTATAAAAAAAAATGTTTTGAAAGAAGATGGGACAATTGTAAAATCAGAACAGTTTCTCTCATTTCTGTCCCTTCAAAATCCTCTTTGCTAGATCCCTCACACATGGTCTCATGGAGTTCTGTTTCCTTTATGTCCGTGCTTTGACCATGGCAGTCCGTTGAGAGACAGGAAATCAACAAGGGGAGAGGGGACCAGAGTGCAGCACTTTTGTTTATTGAGCCGAAAGCCTCTGGTATGACAGGAATCACAAATGGTACAAATCGTGCTGCTTATCTATTTTCTGTGTGCATCAAGAAGCAGCTCTGTCTGCGAACTGTATCCTTTACTAAAGCCGAGCTGGACTCAGATCATTGTCTAAAGTATGCCTTTCCCACTCCACAGGGACTCATCAGTTATCAAATCGTGGGATTTACCCATTTTGGTTGGCAGAGTCAGCCATTTATTTTGACTTTAATGTTCTTGTTTGTCATATTTATATGGCTTTTGTGACTTGAGACCCTCTCACTTTGCATCAGTGCAAAACTGGGAAATTTTTGCAGTTAAAAAAAACAGGCTAATAATTCTCCCCCCATTAATTTTCAGCTTTAGGTTGCCTTTCAAATAGTTGTTCCCTGAATGCTTGTACAAGATGCTGGGATAGCAGTGAGAGCAGGAGGAGAGGAGTGGGAAAGACATCTGAAGAGCAGATTTCTCATGCACTGATTTGCAGTAAGATTGAAGACTTTTGACCCAGGCCCCCCGAAACCCTCCTTCCTCTGGAAAGAATGTGGCCTGGGCTCTCCCCCCATCTCCTCTCATTTTCTCTCCCCGGAGGCTCTGAAAAAGCCTTGGTTCACTTTATGACCCAAAAAATGGAAACTATAATTTGATAAGCATGTCTGAGCTATTACATGCATGTGTTACATGCATCATAAAAAGAAGCCAAGAAAAGTGTAATTAACCTATTTATTTGCTCAAAAATCAGTTAATGTTTAATAAACAACAAGAGCATAGACATATAAGTTTCTTTATTTTTTTACAAGCAAGCCACTATCGAGTAAAACTGACAATCATTAAATTCAGCATAATATTTGGCAGTTTAAACACTTGTTTTGATGCACATTGAGTTAGCACTTTGGTCGTGGTTTGTTGTGCAGTCTTTTTACTCTTTGGTTTCAGAAAGAAAACATCCTTGGTTAGTTTATGATGTGCAGATTAAAGGACACACCTTTATTTTTCTCTCTTCACCTTTTGTAAGCAGCGGTTCTAAATAAGCTGTTGGAAGGTTGTTCTTACTAATCCCTTCAAGTGTAGGAGAAAATATTTAGTTAGAGAGTTTGCATAGAGGAATATCTCTGTTGTCTGACGCTGTTTACTTTCGTACTTTTATTCTGTGCTATTTGAACCTATTTATGCTCCAAAGCCAAATCAACTGGCCGCTTCAATTCATTCCAACCTGATGCATGGCTCTTTTAAAAGTATTATTAGTATTTTCAATTATAGCAAATAGCATTTGGAGTAACAAAGAAAATGCCTTTTTTTTTTTAGCGACCGGTTGAGAAGGTTAACAGAATATCCTCTTTTGTTGTTTCAGGGATCGTTTTTGATGGATTCACTTAAACTCCATGGATGTGCTCATGTCTGTGATGGGAGTGTCATCAAGGATCTTGTCTTCTATTGGAACGATGTCACTGAGAAGATCATTTTCTTTCAGCTCTGAGGCTTTTAGGAGTTCGCTAATATTTTCCATGTTGACATCACTCTCATGCGTCTTCAGGCACTCTTCGGCCTCCACCCCTGTAAATTTCTCCAGAAAGTCTGAAGTAAACTTTGCTGGCTCTGCTGTGGAACTTTCCTCACTTGCTGAACATTTTGATGACTCATCTGGATCGAGCAGGATGGTGGCTTGGGAGGAAATCACATCAGGGACACCATAGTCAATCAGTGGGGGTGCAGAAAGAACCGGATCGGTGAGGGGTTCTTGGTCTTTGCTTTGCACAGCCGCCTCAGCTGCTGTTGGCACTGGCTGAGGGATGGACTCAGTGTCTGCTTCTGACTGCAGAACAGATTCTGAAACATCAACTGGGTTTAAGGCAACTTGTGCTTCAGCTTCGTTTGTAGCTTCAGGGTTGGGCTTTGCAGATATTTCTGGTTTTGGAGGACTGGCGTCTGAAACCAGAGGTTTAGGCTCCTTAGGAGCTTGAGTTTCCAGTGTCAGCAGTTCCGACTCTGCATCTTCTCTTGGGGCCAAAGCAGAGGGACTTTTCTCTCCTTTCACCTCCGATGCACATTCCTCTTTTGTTGGTTCTTCTATCAGAACATCAAGACTCTCTGCCTTTGCATCCTCCTGTTTTATCCCAGAGTCTACAGCTGGTTTTGAATGTTCCACTGCAGGTTTCTGTTCACTGGCTGCAGATGCAGCACTGCTGACAGCGACATCTCGCCTTCTGCTGAACTTGTTTCCCATGCTGAATCTACAATTGATCAAAAGCAGTTAAATTATTTTAAAAATTCACACTCTATCAATAGAAGCTTTCAGAACAGCAGATTCAAACTTAGATTGTCAGTTGGTGATTAAGACTTAAATAAGTCAGGATTTATTTTTTATTTAATGCTATGGTACAGAGAGCATTAACTTGGTTCATTTTTTTTTATAATGCATGGATGAAAACACATAGTTAACTTTTAGGTCTAAAATATTACCTCAGATCATCTGCAGTAATTTCATACCTCCTTATGAAAGAAAATACAGCACAGGACCTAAACTCCTTTTCATTCCCAATATATTTTGTTTTCGTTTTATTTATTAACACAAAACACAGATTAGTTTAAAATCTAAAATTAGAAAATATTTGTCGAATACAGCAGAACAGAGAAAGGATTTTTTTATATACACGACCCCGCCTCTGGTTTTTGTTGGAAACAAAAAACAAACAAAATAAAGTAATGGTGGTTAAAAAAAAAGCACGCTTTCAAGTTGTTGATAAAAAGTCATAAAAGATGAAGATTTCTCCACTAACCTTTAACAAGCTCCTTGATTTCGCAGTTGAAGCTGATCAAAGTGCAGATGATCTCTCAGCAGAAGTCCGTGAGCCAAAGTGTCTCGCTGAAGCGCGCGCGCACCAGCGAGGCAGAGCCCGAGCCGGGCGCGCGGCCTCGACAAAAGTGCACGCGCAAAGCCCAGCTCTTCGAGACGGACTTCGGCGTGAGCCCTCATCAAGTGAAAGTAAGTGAACAACAGAAACTATTAAAAAAATAAAAACAAAACTTAGATCAAATGACGATTTATTTTATTTCAGGACATTAAAAAGTTTTTTGTTTTTTTTAACTGTCATAATAGTCCGTGAAAAAAAAACAACTTTTAAACATCTATAATACAGTAAAATTTACAGTATAATCGGTCCCCATTTCCCTGGAAATGTCCCCGAAAGCTGTCAATTTGTGATAAGTAAATTTTACCGGGGAAATTGTTGCTTGTAAACTGTTATTACGGTAGAAAGAGCGCGTGAGGATGTTGCGCGCAGAAACCTGTGTTATGGTAATAATAAAACGATGAGGTTATACAAGAGTAACCCCAGTAACTGACCTGATTAACCAGCCAGGAACACCTGGATTAAACAGCTTGACCATTAATGAAAGACATGAAACAAAGGAGCAGCTGAAGTTCAGGAAGCAGTGGAGCTGTGGATAGTGAGATAAATGAATCTGCTTCTCTGAGATGTGCACAGGACCCTGATGGGGTCAAATGCAGTTTACCTGCAGAAGAAAAGAAAAGCCTGGTTATTTGGCAGGTAGCTGTGAGCAGAATTTGTTGCACTTTTATTGAAGAGGTGGGGGGACTTTGTCTCCCCAGACATCCACAGGGACAGGCTAAAGGTTGGAGAAAGGTTTTGCTTTTTCCTTTTTTCTTTTCCTCGTGTCACTCTCCCCTTAGAGAGGCTGAGCTCTATAGGCCCCACAAAACTGGAAATCCTCGGTAACCACCCAGGACCCCCGACCCAGAGACACAGTTTAGCTTTCTATAAATAACAATATAAATTAATTCATATTATTAATCTTAGGAAATACTAACAGTCAAGAGGCACATATATGTAAAAACAAATTAAACTATTACTTTCCCGGTTTGCTAAGTTTAATCTTGATGAGATGTATTTCTTTTTATCAATGAGCTGAAAATGTCCCAAAGTTTTATTTCAGAAATTACCTTAATCTATAATAAATATATACATTTAGTTTAAGCCTAAATCTAATGTGTAAATGAATGTCTCTTTAAATTGAATCAACAAATAACATGTTGAATCTTATCAATTTTCAATTCAATTCAGTTTATTTATATAGCGCCAAATTCACAACACATGTCATCTCAAGGCACTTT